ATAAACTATTTATAAAAATATTAAATTATATAAAATAAGTGAACTAATTAAAATAAAATGAAAATATAAAAATTCCCAAATCAAATATTGTAATCTTAATTTGGGGGTTTATTCTTGGGTTTATCCCCACGAGTTCTTTGATGGATTGTCTCTTGGACTTCACATTTTTCTAAGCGAGAATTTTGTTAAGCTTGCGTGTTCAAAGTTTAAGTTCATGCCTCGTTGATGTTTTCAAAATTAATCCTCTTGAGACTAAAATATGTGAAAAGAGTTGATTTTTTTTTTTTTTTTGGTTTTGTGTCTTATTTTGTTGTTACCTTAAAGGTTTGTGAATCGGATACACATCCCCTATATATTAATTGAGGAACATTTGAAAAGATGTAACCTCAATTTTGTATTAATTAAAAGAGGCCCCAATGCATAGGTGTCATTCAATTAGGTAGTCAATTAGATTCAATTGAAAATAAGTAAGTCCACATTGGATTTTTATAGGTTGCTAGATACATTAGTTAGTCAAACTATATGATATGATATGCTATTTTCTTTCCATAAATAAAACCTACGGAATTACCATAAATGACTAATATATATATATATGACACTTAATGAATGTTCCCTAAGATATAATTACTATTTTATTTTATTTCCATAAATAAAACCTACGGAATTACCATAAATGACTAATATATATATATATATGACACTTAATGATTCTAATAATAAATATTTGATAACAGTTTATATATCCTCCATCATTTTTCTTTAATTTTATATTATTAAAAAAATTAAACAATAAAATTAGCTATAAAATTAAACTTTAGATTTTTTTCGTATAGGTTATATTTTGAATTTTAAGAAACGAGAATAAATAACTAAACTATTAAAATTATTATGTTAAAAATTAATGATCAATAGTTTAACATTTTACTATAAAAAGATATACATGATTTTAAAACCATATAAGTAAAAAGTATCATTCAATAATAAAACAAATAAATATATATACAGATTAAACTATATACCATATAAGATTACATAAATATTTTAATTTCAAAATTTTCAATAAATTTTCAAGAACATTTATAAATTATAAACTTATTAAATTTTTCACATTGAAATTTTTTGTTATCAATGATTTAAATATCTTAGTTCATTTTTTAATTTTATATTTTTAAAAGATATTAACAATCGATAATATGGTTATTTTTGGTATATACCATACAAACCGAATAGATGTGATTTTATAAAAACCATAGGATTTGGATATGGTTTGATTTATAATCGATTAAACTGAAACATGTAAATATGTATATATTTATAACGACGTATGAATATCTATTTGTTACATGAGTNAACCGAATAGATGTGATTTTATAAAAACCATAGGATTTGGATATGGTTTGATTTATAATCGATTAAACTGAAACATGTAAATATGTATATATTTATAACGACGTATGAATATCTATTTGTTACATGAGTTGAACTATAATTATAATTTGTAAATAGCTAACAATTTATTACAACTAAGACTTCTTATTTTGATCTTTTGCTTTTTTAACAGTAGCTAAATTGAAGTAAAGATTATAAATTTGATGGACAACAATTAGTTGAAATTCTTTACAACTTTTTTTATCTTTAAACAAACAGAGTTGTGTTCAATCGAAGACATATTGGTTTGATGAACACTAAATATGGAAGAATATAAAAACATTTCTTTCATGCTTCTGTTTTGTTTTTTTATTTTTATTTTCAAAATTTAATGTTTTGATATTAATTCTAGATTTGATCATTTTATTAGATGATAGAAGCTTTTTTGTTTTTTATTCTTTTATTTAAATATATAATATTTTTTTAATAAATGACGCTGTGACAATATGACTCTAAATATGATCATATTATATATTTGTATAATATATAATATGATCTCAAACTAAATAATTATGTTTTTTGGTATAAAATTGAATAAACTGAAAACCGATGGTATATAAACCAAATCAAACTGAAGTACATATAGATTTAGAATAGTAGTTATATTTTAATGATCGAAATACCAAAAGATCGAGCCGAACCGAAACCCGATATCCGGATTGAACACCCAAATCCAAATAAAACTGAACTATTGTTTCATTATCCAAAAATAGATTGAAAATAACAATTTCATCCAGCGCAAGGCGCGGGTCTTATCCTAGTTGTTTGTAAGCGACTGATTCTTCTTAAAACTCCTTTCCCATTTTCTTCGCATGTTCCCATAAACCACATGAGGAATTGCACCATGTTAGAAATTTTGACAAAAATCAAGAAAACTTAGATGTTTGAAGAAGAAAGGCTAATAGCGATTTTTTTTAACAAATTGAATAAGGCGTAGGAATGGTTTTTCTATTTTTCTCGTTCAAAATTTTAATTTTTGCAAATGTGGAAACAAAATATTTCCAAATATTTTTTACTAGGGCCGGACCGGCGCTACGCGCCGGATTCGTATGTGTTATTGAAGAATGAATAAATAAATAAGTTTTTAGATTTGGTAAAGCTATTATTCTGAATAATTTGATTAGAGTGAAGGCTCATCAAATAACAGAAGATTTGAAAGCACTTTATCGTAGGAAAGTTAGATGAAATTGTAATCTTTATTTCGAGTTATGGTTTTAGTTTTAGTTACCTCTTTTTCCTTGTTTTTGTATATCTTCCGCATTGCTAATTGTTTTTCTAATTTGTTCGAGGAACTCCGCTTATATAAACTTTTGTTTGTATTTTTTGTATTTATTTATTGAATGGTAGCAAATGAATATTTATTAAAATGATGAATAACATAGTAAAGCCACGAAAGTAACATGTATGATAAATTGAAATTTGAACATAAGAAATAGATCTTCTAGACCCTAATTTTATTTTATTCTCTATTGATTGCAAAATTAATAATTCCGCTTAATCGTTTGAGCCATGTTATTTGGATCGCACCTTGTTTGTTGCTTCATGTGAACCATATTTGTATAATACCGCTTTTTCATAGGAACCGGGATTGCATTTAGTGAATTTTTTATTCTTGCCCAGCAATGGTTGGATGTTGCTATGTTATTTTTCTATTGTAATTTATCCAAATATTTTTTCCCCTTTGCAAAGAACTAAAATATTCTATAAATAGTATTTATAGAATATTAAAAATGACATAAATGACAAATAATTTTTCCAAGTTCGTATGTTTTATTTTTAAATGATTTTACAATTTATTTAATGTTTTTTGTATAAAAGTATGTTAAAAATATTGAGATGAAAATATGTGAGAAAGTAAATGATATTTTTTTTTCCAATCAATTTGATAGTAGATACTCACCGTAGTGATTACTTTGTTTTAAAGTTGATGAGGTCAAAATGAGATATAATAAGTGCTTTCCTAAATTTAAAACTTTTGTTATGGTATTTTAGCATAAAATATTTACTGATGATATTTGGTTTGATGCAGCATTGATACCTAATTTAAACCTTGATTTGATGGCATGCAGGAAAGTTTAATCACCTACGGTTTATGAGAAATACGCTTATAATAAAAGTATTGTTAACTACATCATTAAGATGTTTTACTTTACAGAGAATCTAGAGATAAAACAATAAAACTTTATTAAGTAATGAACGCAAAAATAGTTGTCATCGATACACTTGTTACTTGTTAAACATGTACATCCCAACCTTTTGCTCTTTCCGAGTAGTACTTAAATGTCGCATTCTTGTCTGCTAGTTAAGAACACTCCCAACGGAGGTTTATAAGACAAGTTCTCAGAACTAAAAATAATCAACAAATGCAAAAAGATAGAAAGAGTAACATATACGGTCCTCAAATAATATATTCAAGAATCGTATTAGAAACATACAAACTAAGTGTCACTTTTAATTTAAAAAGGTAAACAAAAATTAATTGTTCAAGGGAGGTTTTAACTGATAAGGATGCTCTAGAGGAATGCTCCTGCGCAGCTCTCGGGGATGTTAAGCTGGTGGTTGTGGATACCTTTCATAAAAAATGGTGGTTAAACGAAGAAAAGATTAGTTAGATTCATTTTTTATCTCATTTGATTGGGTTTGATAAAATGAAAATAGATTTTAGTATTTTTTAAATATATTATGTATTTTAACTAAATTATTATTTGTTGACAAAAAAAATTAGATGTTAAGCTAGATTAGAAATGATGAGTTGCTAAAAAATTAATCAGTTTGATATAAAGAAGAACAAGAGGAAAAAAAAAATTCGAGATAATGTATAATTTTCTTAAAAATGATGATTGTTGTGTCCAATTAATATGATAAATAATAATGAAGATTTTTCAAGCAATATACACTTCACACAATAGCTAGCATGAATGTATTCTCGAGGCAGAGGAGCATAGTTTTCGACTTCCTTTCTCTGTTCCTTCCCATCAAACTTGGACAGAAGCCTCATGTTAACCATAAACAGCTTATCAATCTTCTTCTGAGGTAGCTTCTCAAGCAAGTCACCACACTTTATCTAAATATTGCAGGATGAGATAAGGAGGTAAGCAAAGAACTGAAGCCTATCTTCTTGAAACTCCACAGGGCTGTAAATGTTTCTCCTACCATCAAAAGCAGGGACAGCACCAGAGAAACTACTATGCTGATCAGTCTCCACGAATTGATCATCCGAGCGATTTCCTTTGACGGGTTTGGAGACATCTCAACGTTGTAATTG